GTCTTTCTGGTTATTTTTGTGTTTTTGAGTTTTGTTCCACATTTTTCCTCCCACGCTATTCAGGATCTCAGGTTTTGATCCCTTTCTGTGTGGTTGACATTGGTAGCTGGGCACCATCTAGTTCTTCTGGTCTTGGGGTCATGAAGGCTGGCTGAGGTTCTTGTGGTCCATCTTATCCTTGGACTAATTGTTTCCAGCTGCCTTTGATTTTCTTCACTCTTCTTTGATTCAGATGAGAGGAGACCAATAGTTGCATCTTAGATGGCCACATGAAAGCTTTTAAGAGCCCAGTCACTACTCACCAAAGTGGAACAAGATTTTTATGTACTATATTGTGCCAATTGAGCATGATGTCCCCTGAGACTAAGTCCTGAGTCAGCAGGCCCAATGATTCTCTCTCAGGGTGTTTGTCTCTGAGAAGTTACTCCAATTCTATCTTCTTTTGCTTCTGTAACATATGTGGCTAGTTTTGTAGCACAAGTGCATATGTAAGATTATCTTCAGCCAAATCTATCCTTGGTCTAGGGTATATTCCTGTTCACCTACCCCCACCTGATCTTCTCACCTGTCTATGCATTTATCCATAGTCTGGTGTCTGGTGTTAGTGGTAATGCAGTATTGTGCATGCACTAGTATTTGCCTCTGTTGTCTCTATCTTATGTGCATGTTTCAGTGTCCTTCCTTTCCCCAGTGTCATCATGCTGGTCACAGACTCTTTGCATATCACCCCTCCCCTCACCCAAATCAACATGGTCCAGCTGAATTTATACCAAAACTTTCTCAGAGGTGAGGAGAATGTCTCCCACTACTCTAGTATGATGGTTTTCCCCTCCTACACTGTCCTTCCAGTCCTAAGTCTCCCACAGAGAATGTCTCCCTAAATCATCATCACTTCAGGTGCCTTTGAGAAAGGACTTAACTCTAATCCCAGTCCCAGTTACTAGCTTGTGTATAACTACATCTTCTGCTCCTTAGCTGCTTCTTAGGTAAAATGAAAAAGAGGAGTCCTGGTGGCACAATGTTAAGTGCTTGGCTGTTAAACTAAAGGTTGGAAGTTCAAACCCACCCGCGCTTCATAGGTGAAAGATGTGGCAGTCTGCTTCCATAAAGATTTACAGCCTTGGAAACCCTATGGAGCAGTTCTATTCTGTCCTATAGGGTCATCATGGGTTGGAATTGACTTAATGGCAGTGGGTTGAAATGAAAGGATTGAAGTTGATTGATTGATTGATTCCTCCATTCATTCAAAAGCTATTTATTAAGACTACGTGATATAAGTCCTGTTAAGTCAAGGGTGAAAAAGCCTGAAGCACAGGCCATCACAGTGCAGACTCTTGGGGATTCCTTCCCACTCTGGGATCCTGAGAGCAAGTGTAAAGCATTTATTTAGCAGGAGGACCCATGATACTTTTTTTTTTCCTACATAAATACAAATGTGGAGACTTAAATCAAAGTTAGCTAGACTGAGAGCAGCAGCTCTGGGGTGAAACCTCACACTGAGTTAAACTGCACGCGCACAGACTCTGCCAACCGTCTGAAATATACTGGTAACAAGCAAAAGGCAAAGGAAACGGCTCAGGAGTCATAATTACTTTTATTTTTATCTCCAATCAGTCACAGACCCCGGGAGGTGAGGCCAGGGAAGGGGATAGGTGCAGAAACCTGGGAACCTTGGGGGAGGTCAGAACAAGAAAAGTTGTGTCTGGGAGTGTGGCAGACAGGACCTGCCCCTAGTGGTGTATCTCTGCCCTCAGACACTCAGGAGAGCAGCTCAGGGGAGGGGATGTTGTAGGGGGGCTGTTTTTGAGCAGCCCACAAAATAAACAGTGTCAGGGGATGCAACAATCCTTGGACCAAAGGGAACAGCCAGAGGCTGATGAGAAGAGACGCCTGAGGAGATGTGAGAAGAACCAAGAAAGAGAAAGTTGGTGGCCACATTCCGTTCTAACCCCTTGGCATCCTGCCTCTTTCTCTCCCTGCTTTTTCTCAAATAGCCACGAGGGGGCAGCAAAGTCCTTGTGCAAAAATCTCAGCCTGCCTGGGAGAGCCTACAGGCACCAGGGACTTTGCCCCAGTGGATTTAGGGAAGGAGAGGGGCAGAGCCTTTTGGAAGCAAGGTATCTACCTGATCCTGTGAGAGGAACAGCAGGGGACAGAAGAACCAAGATTCTTGGTGTTTCCCCAGATAATACAGAAGGAGCCACACTTGTGCCTGCGAATTAGTGGGGAGAATTCAGGGACTTCCATCTTCTTCCTCAACCCAATCTATAGCCCCAAGGAGAGGACCTTATCCCCCTCAACAGGATACCACCAGCCTCATATCACAGCTGTCCAACTCCTGGCTGCCTCTAGCTTTATAGAATCCAAACAATTCCTTCCCCGGCCCAGTCCTACCCCTGCCAAAAATGTGAGGGGCCAGCTGACTCCCCTCCTCCCCCGCAGCCTGTGGCACCTGCCCAGCTTCGGTTTCTCATAATCCTGCATTCCTGATCCCTCGCCCTTCCTCCTTCCGAGACCCATCCAGGTGTTCCTGCAGCTCCTCACTGCCCAGACCAGAGAGACTCAGGGACCTTGGTTCTGCTGCCAGCTCAGTGGTGCCCCAGAAGCCTTTCTGGGCCCAGCATATTTTCAGGAGACTCTGCTGGCCTTCTCATCGCTGCAAAGGAGCGCTTTCTGGGGGTGGTGACTACTGGAGCCCTGATCTTGTTTATTGCCAAGGGTCTGCCCCCTCCCCCAGGCTTCTGGAGTTCAGCCTTGGATAAGCTTCTCAATTCCCAGTTTTTGCATAAATTATCCCAGGAACAGGTGGACTCAAAGAAATGGATTCTGGGAAGCTTGACCAGGGCCCAGGCTGGGAATGGCAGGGCAGGGAGGCAACCCCTTTAGAAGTGGGGCCAGAAATTAGGGGGAAGGAGGGGAGTCTCAGAGGAGAGGTGACAACTGCGCAAGGAAGTCAGTGAAGTAAATGTCCTGGTGCCTTCCACCGCCCCTCCACCCTGGCCATGTTCTTCCATCTTGCTGACAGGAAAACACAATCACAGGTAGTGAGAAACACTTGCCTAATACCAAAAGTTTGTTGCCAGCAAGAATGGGAGTCAGAAACCAGCAATCCTGCCTCCCACCCTAAGTCCTCAGAATGGCCAGGCCTAACCTCCATCTCTCTGGGCTCTCCTGCAGCTCATTCAAGCCCTAGCTCCTCTGGGAGAGTCATACCTTTTGAGTCAGGCAGCTGTAGGTCTGAGTTCCAGATGATTAGGGAGGACTGACCTCAGGCTTATTACCAAACCCAAGTGCCTCAGTTTTCTCTTCTGCAATGGGGATGTGCAGAACACTGACTCACAGAATTGCTGCAATGGGTTTAGACCAGCGTCTAGTGGGCAGGCTCCACTGCTCATGACAACCTTGATCTCACACCACCACTTCCACCCCTCCCACGCTTTAGGTTCCTTCTCTCCTCAAATGCTCAAGATGGAACAAAACTTCAAGTGGTTCGGCAATATTTCTTGAAAGACACAAATAGGGTGGGGAAAGGTGGGACAGGGAACAGATGGATAACATACCTAGTCACTCTCCCTGGGGGCAAACAGAGCCCCCAGCAAAGGGAGGAGAAAGGAGAGCCTCAAGGGAGAGTCCGAGGGAGGGTCCTGGTATCCTTTAGAAGTTTCCCTGTCTCCAGCTAGTAACTTTCCACTGGCTCATAACTGGCTGCATGTACACTCCCCCGGACATTGCCCCCAGGTCCCCTCCCACAGAGCCTGTGGAAGGCTGGGTGGCTGACGCACACCCTACCTGAGATCCCAGCCACCTGGAGGCTGATAAGGAGCCCCAGCCTCATTACATGGGACCAGCTGAAGGATTTGGCCCTGGCTGTTAACATCAGCTGGTCAGCTTCCAAACTGGAAGATGAGGAGATAAGGAAAGGAGGCGGCTTAGGGATTTTGGGCTGAGTGACCAGGAAAACTGGGGGTAGGGTTGTGGGCACTGCCAACTGAGGCCTCAGGAGGCCTGGCAAGAGATAAACCAGCAAATGGCAGCAGGTGGGGGAGGGTTCAGGAAATAAGGTGTGCAGAAGTAAGAAATAAGATGTGGGGAGGGCTATGAAGTGGGCAGGATGCCCCTCAGATGGAGTGAGCCAGTAGATAGCAGGACCCCACCTCCAGGAACAGCCAGCCATCTAGGGACCAAGCACACTTTAATCAGCCTCAGGCTTGTTGGAGCAGCCTGGGGGCTCAGGAGAAGAGGGTGAAAGGATACAGGGTCCAGTCCTGCAACTCCAAGGCCTCTCAGGTGGAAGGAGGCCAGGTGGACTGGCCACACGGCACAGCCCAGACCTCCCAGCTAGCTCTGCTCAAACTTCCCTCGGAACCCCAGGGCAGGCCCCCATTTAGGAGCAGGGTCTACTCACCCCACCTCCTGTCTCAGCAGTGCTGTGTCTGACCAGGGAGGGTAAACCAAGGCAAAGGGCAGGTGGCCCTGGCTTCCTGTCCCTCTTCTCTTGTTAGAGCTGAGGGAGGGTGGGCAGCCTGGGCAGCTTTTCTGTCCACCCCCATCCTCCCACATCCTCCACAGAGCACCCTGAGCACCCTCTCCTCTTCTCCCAGCCATGCCCCCCTTCCTTACAAGGTGTCAATGCCTGAACTAGCAGGGGGAAAAAAAAAGAGGAGGTGGACTGGACACAGGATGGCTTGCCCCAAGGTCAAGCAACCTTAAGAGGAATCTTGGTGGGGCTGGGGGTCTCAGCCAGGCTCCTGGGGTCTCTTTCCCACATCTGCGATTCTGCTGGGCTCCTCCCCCTCGCCCTCAGATCCTGAAACCCAGAGGAGCAGATGGCAAGGGAGTCAGCAGCCTTGACAGTCCCAGATTGGGAGATGTAATTGGTGGGGGCGGGGGAGCAGTACAGGGGCTGAGGTGACCTAGGTTCCAGGCCTCCAATAGCATATGTACAAGCTGCAGGGTAAGGGCGAGGGCTGGGCTGGGGTAGTGAGCACTGGCCGAGGGCTGGGCTGGCAGCTAGTTTTATATCTGGGCTTGCAAGAGCATGGGAAGGGTCAGAGGACCAGAAAGGGAGCATTCTCTGGAGGAAGCCGGGGTGGGGGTGGGTGGGGAGTGAGGAGGGCTACTCAATCCCGATTGGTGCCAAATATCTGCAGGAAGAAGGTGAAGATATAGATGATGTCCAGGTAAATGTTGAGGGCTCCAAAAATATACTCCTCTGGGCTCAGAGAGTGGCGGCGGCTCCCCATCAGCAACTGGGTGTCAAATGCCAAGAACTGGGGACAGGGAGACAGAGAAAGCAGGAGGAGGAGTCAGACGGCCTGGTCACTGGGACACTAGTGAAGGGGGCCCAGCACCCCCACCCAGGCCCAACCCCCAATTTTGTTACAACCTGCTGCCTGGCTGCTCAGTGATCTCCCTATGACAGCCAGAATCTGGAACTTTCCCCAACACCTCCCCTCCCTAATTCAATCCAATACCTATTTACTGAGCACCTACTATGTTCCAGGCTTGGAGATTCAGCAGTCAGCAAGACAGACAAGATCCCTGCCCTCACAGAGCTTACAGTCTAGTAGGGAAGTAACTGCAAGTGTGATGCGTGGTACCAAGTGCCACAAGGGGCTGAGAACCAGGGACCTGGCCTACATGAGTTAGGGAGGGCTTTCTGGAGGGAGAGCCCTTTAAGCTGAGGCCTAGTATTCTTGTCATTCCCTCAGGGCCTTGCTCTTGGAGGATAAATGAGCACTCTGACAATGGGGAGTGTGGGCTGAGTGTCTGCTCCGTGCCACTGGTCCAGAGGCTTTGCCTGCACAGCCCATTTAATCCTTATAACATCCCTATCAAGGACAGTGTCTATTATTCCTAGAGGAAATGGAGGCTTAGAGATGTTGAGTAATCTGCCCAAGGTTACACAGCTAGGAAGTGGCAAAGGCAGGATTTGAACCCTAGGTGGCCAGCTCCAGAGCTCCCGCACTTAACCATTTTGCTCTGCTGCTTATGGGTAGCAAGGGCACCACACAGGGTTAATGGGATCCCCCGGCAGGACACAGGCTCTTCCTTAGGGCGTCTTCTTGGTCTTATGGCCTATGAACAGTTATTCTCTTAGAGGCGACTCCTCTCTGCCACTCTGCTGCCCCCTTGCCTCGGTCTGCTCTGAATCCCACCCTTCTCACAAAGCTACCTTCTGGGGTCCAGGCCGAGGGAGCAGAGCTCTGTGGAAGAAGCAAGTGAAACTGGCAGACATGGTGCACTTTTCTGGCAAGAGAAGTCAAAAGTTCACCAGCGTCTCAAAAGTTATGAACCATTGGTCCACACAAGATTGGAATTCTTTAAATCAATCCACATTCTTGTTAACTGGGTTGTGCCCAGTTCTTCCGTCACTTGGACGTGGAAGACCTGTGCTCCTTTAGGTCCTCAAAACTCGTTCATTATACAGCAAATATAGAGAGAATAATAGCTGTGTGTCAGGTACTTGCTGAAAGCTGAGGAGATAATGAGGAACACAAAGCAGAGCTTGGTGGAGGATTTAAAAAACAAATCAACATGTTGCCACAGAGCCAATTCCAACTCTTAGCGACTCTACAGGACAGAGGAGAACTGCCCCATAGAGTTTCCAAGGTTGTAATCTTTACGGAAGCTGACTGCTACATCTTTCTTCTGCAGAGCAGCTGATGGGTTCAAACCGCTGACCTTTCAGTTAGCAGCCAAGCACTCAACCACTGCACCAACAGATTTGGGGATACTTACAGTAACACTAGGGAGCTCTGGTGGTGTATTGCCTAAGCCTTTGACTGCTAACCAGAAGGCTGTGGTTCAAACCCACCAGCCACTCCTCGGAAGGAAGGTTCCGTAGTGATACCGCCTCGGAAACCCAAGGAGAGGTCTCTATGAGTCAGGTCCAACTTGACGGCAGTGCATGCGTATAGTAACACTGGGTAAATGCTTTAATAGTGGTATAAGGGCTGTGGAGAAGGGTTCTACTGATCGTGCAGGAGGAAGGTGTCCCAGCAGAGGTGGCGTTTTACCTGGTGCTTGAAGGAGGAATAGGGGTTTGGAGGCTGAGAAGGCCTAATGAAAACTGGAGGTCTTAGGAGTATGGAGTGAAGATCCAAGGAGATCAGTGTGGTTGGAGAAACAGGGAAGATGATGGAGAAGAGGAGAGCTAGAGCCTGACGTTGAAGCTTGCACTTCACCTTGCCCAGCTCCCTCTTCCTCACCCCAGCCACCAACTCCTTAACTTCTGAGGCCCAGACTTGGAGTTGCTTTGGATGCAGCCCCATGAAAGCCTGGGAGAATCCCTGCCTCGGTGCCAACGCCTCCAGTGCACAGGGGGCCAGAGACTCCAGCATGTGAGATTTCAAGACATGTCACCCTCTAAGGTGTGGTGGGGGTGGGGGATGACTGAGTATGGACTTGAAATTTAGTTGGATTCTGATCTCAGCTCCTCTGCTCACTAGCTGTATGACTCTGAGCGAGGAACTTAACTTCTCTGAGCCTGTCAGTCCATATCTATAAAAGGGAGATGAGTGTCTGCCTCACAAGGTTGTTTTGAGAATGAGATAATGCATGCAAAGCACCTGGCACGGTGCCTGACACATGGCAAGCCCTTAATGAATGGTGGCTATTAATGTGGTTTTATTGTTATCATCTGCAGAAGAGATGCCCTCTGGGGAACTGCATTCACAAGACTCAGGCGTCTCCCCATCTCACCAGGGAGGCAGCGCTGTTACTAGGGGAAGCCATGTGGCCCTAGCAGGAGGATCTGAGTTGAAGGGAAACCAGAGAATGGAGCCACAGTCAGGGCTGGGGGTTGTGCACAGGGCGCGCCCAGCTCTCTGAGCTCAGCTGCATGGAGGGGAGGGCACGAGAGAACATGAGACTCAAGTCACAAAACATGGATTTGAGTCCTGGCTCCATTGTTCAGTAACTGAGCCACCCACTTAACCTCAATGTCCTCATCTACAAAATGGGTTGGTGATAGTGCCCATGCCTGATGTTTTGGGGGTTAACTATGACTGTGTATGTACCATCAACTGTTATTATTCTTTAGTGACGTTTTGCTCCCTTCTACTCTGCCTCTTCTGATTTGGTTTCCCAAGTAAATTTTCCTCCTGGAGCAAGAAGGAACAAGCAGAGGGGCCGACTCAATGCCACAGGCTGCTTAGTGGTCACAGCTACCAGCGTAAGTTAATAAATTGCCGACCTGGCTTATCAGTCAGTAGCTTGCTTGGCTGATTTCTCAGAGCCTCACCACCCCTGGGTGAGCTAATGAAATTGAATCTCTCAACCTAAAAGCCACGAACCTGATCAGGCCTGGAGGCGGCCCCTCCAAGCAGCGCCTGCCCAGGAGGCCACCTAGATCAGCAAGCTGGTTTTCCTCTTGGAGAGAAAGGAGATGGACTGCTCCTGCCCTTGGCCAATGGCCAAGGATACTTATCTACATGTTACTATCTGGGATGGGCTACCCCAAATTTCAACCCTACCGCCTGTGACCTCATGCCTGTGAGTCAATTGAAGGCTTTTTTTCATTCATTTATTCCCAATAATATTTGTTGAGCACCTACTATGTCCCAGGGAATTTGCCCACATGGAGCTGACCATTGAGAAAGAGCAAAAGGCATTATTTTGAGTATATATTCAGGGGGAAGTAACCTGCTGATAACCTCTTGGGTGACGGTAAGCACTGTCAGCTCACATCTTGGCTGAGAGCAGACATCTTGATTATAGTTCATGTCTTAGCTGTTAGTTAAGATCTTAGCCGATGCCTACTTTGCCATGAGACCAGAACTGGACAGTGCCTGGCTATCATTACTGAACATTTTGATCAACGATTCTATAGAAGAATTCTGATCAAAAGTGAGGAAATGCTGAGCAGGATTTCAAATTCTCACAGAATTCAGATTTTCTGGCACCATGGAGGCTGGATAAACTCCTGAAGTATCGTCCTGAGATAATCTTTAAACCTTAAACCAAAATATATCCCCTGAAAAAACAAAAACCAAACTCATTGCAGTCTAGTCGGATCTGACTCATAGCAACCCCTCCTTGGGTTTCAGAGGCAGTATCACTACAGAAGTAGATTGCCCAACCTTCCTTCTGAGGAGTGGCTGGTGAGTTTGAATCGCCAGCCTTCTGGTTAGCAGTCAGATAGATGCCTTAAGCACTACGCCACCAGAGCTCCTACATGCCTCCCAAAGTCTTCTTAAAACCAAACAACAGTTTAGCTTAACTATTAACGAAAGTCTGCCTTGAGCATTATGCTCTGCTAAGAACTATCTCTTGTGGTATAGTGCCTGAGGCATTTGACTGCTAACCAAAAGGTTGACGGTTCAAATCCATCAGCCACTCCTGGGAAGAAAGACTGGGCAATCTACCTCCGTAAGGATTTATCGCCTCAGAAACCCAAAAGGGGTCACGATGAGTCAGAATTGAGTCAGAATCGACTCAATGGCAGTGAGTTTGGTTTTTATTTTTTGGTTTTGAAGAACTATCTATAAGGCATCAGACTGCCAAAAGCAACTAGGAACCTTAGGGGGCAGTGAGGTTATGTTAATGGAGGGGGAACCACTCAGAAAAGGAGGGTGAGAATGGTTGCACAACTCAAAGAATGTCATCCATGTTGCTGAATGGTACATGTAGAAATTGTTGAACTGGTGTGTGTTCTGCTGTGTGTATTCCCAACAGCAGAATAAAGAAAATAATATATTATTTAAAAAAGATCTTAGTTGCGAGCTAACTACTGAGTGGATGGCTAACACTTTAGAGGACAGTAGGTACTTTAGCAAGCAGCCAGCTGAATACAAGACCCAGTACGAAGAGCGTGTGGGATTGGGACAAGAGGAAGGAGTGGGACCAGGAGGCAAGTAACTTAACAACGCTTTCACAAACAGGTCCCTGGGTGGTGCCAACGGTTCGTGCGCCACTGCTATCTGAAAGGCTGTTGGTTCAAACCACCCGATGCTGCGGAACGGTCCTGGTGATCAGTATCTGCAAAGAGGATAACCCAGGAAACCCTGTGGGGCGGTGACATACGGTATGTATGGAGCAGTGTCACTCCCTCACATGAGTTGCTCTGACTCAGAATTGACTTGACAGCAACAGGTTTGGTTTTTTGTTTGTTTGTTTTTCACATACTAATATTTTCTTACCCCATTCTGTTTGTCCCAGAAAGTGGCTATTATTATTGCTACTTTGCAGTGAGGAAAGGTGTCTCAGAGCAGGTCATGGCTTGCTGTGGCTGGTTCTCTAATGCTGCAATCAGATCCCCTGTCTCCTA